ACAACTTCATAATTTTACAGCTAGGGGACACTATTCACGAATTATTTCCTCCATACTTAAAAATTCTGTTTCTAAATTGCTTTGGTACATAGAAATTTCTATTGTTCAGATCTTTTCTTAGACACCCTTGATAGTAGCCAGGCAAATTTTGACAGAATTTCATTTTTAGTATTAACCATGGCAGAAGACTGGGGTGAGAAGTGGTCTCTAAAATGCTCCTCAAGCTAGGGACTTCTAGGAATTTCACAGGATGCTTAAAAACTCAGAACTGTCAAGTCCGATAGAACTCTCAATCCCAACCTGGCCCTTTTTCCAGGGTAAAACATTTTGGGTATCAAGTGGGTGGAAAGTAACGAAGAGAATATCTGAGATCTATCTGGAGACTCAGAGTTCCTCAGATGTTTAGCTTAAAAAAAATTGGAGAGAGCTTTTCTGCAATATAATTCACCTTCCAAGGTGCATTTGGAGCCCCTGCAGTTAACTTGGCCTCTATAGACTGAAATAGGTCATAGAACATCTCACAAATTTTTACGATGGCCTTTAGTAGGCTGGCATAGGTACAGAGAGGATAAGAAACTTGAAAATGTCAATGGGACAAATATATATTAATTACACATATAAAATTACATAGATATAAATATATAATTATATATGTATATAATTTCTTAATTACTTTATCCTTATTCAGTGTGGACTTGATTGGTCGGGACACCCATAGATCCTGGTGCCCCCTGGTGGTCACTGAATTATCATAGATCTCCTTGAAACCTAAAAATCCACTGGGTTTGAAGAGCTAAAAAATTGCAAGAAGGGAAACCATGAAAGCATGTAGAAGTAGTTTCCATAATTTAAGCTAGTTCTTCCTATCTGTGCTGGCGATTTATGGCAAAATGAAGTGTAAGTAATGAAAAGGAAGAACCTCCCTAGGCAAAATCAAATTTGAAAAAAAAAATCTTCTTTAGAGTATTGAACATTTGTCAGTGATTTCAAGTATAATGTGCCACATTACTCTATTTGGTGGTTCTTTTAATATTAGTGAAATAAAAGTTATTTGACAACACTTTTGAATATTTTAAGGGGTTAGAAAATTTCAGAGTGACACCTTAGCAATATTCAACTGGACTCATAATTTTGATATAAATTGTATTTTTATTTGTTGTCTTAAATTAACTCAGTAATTGCAGTTAAAGAATTATAATTGTAATCTTCTGAATGTTACCACTTTCTCTGACCTCACAAAAGCAAGTGAACTTGTATAAAGGCATAAAAGATAGTCTTGACTTATAATTTGATTCCTGACCTCTAACTTCCTATACTGTCAGCTAAATCTGAAGCTTAGAAGAATAAGTGAAATTATTACTATCTTTTATGAGCTTAGCTTATATACATTTTTTACATTGGCCTGCAAATAAGTATTTTATATATACTACATAAATCATGCTAATGTAAATATGTAAGTGATTTTCCTGCACAGTGGAAAGATTGTTTACATTTTGACTGAGGTCACAAATAGAGAACCCAATTTTCTGTAATATCTATTAACTGAGATATAATGTTTCTTTTCTGTTTATAATCAGTTTCTTCTGCACAGTACCTTTTCTAATTCAGTTTAAATTACCCCCTTTTCTGTGATGAACTTGCATTTTCACATTTACCAGCTGTGAAGCATTTAGATAGTGAGTACAAATGTAGAAGGTTCAGAGACAGCCCTTTGATTTCATTGTTGTTGTTAACTATTTAGCTTGGCAGCCTTGGATTTGTAACATACTGAAGTCTCAGGTTGTTCCTTCACCCTCTAAAGGCCTGTTTACTACACACATACACACACACAAAGGCTTTTATCTGAAAATTCACCAAACTTATTCCCTGAAGTCATTATAATTTACTCCTAAGTAACTATTTCTCACTTAAATTCAGAGAATATCTCCCAGAGATAAACAGTGAGGTAAACATTAGTATTCAAGCAAGTTAAAAGAGGGTAACAGCTGTATCCTCATTTGGGATGTGTGTCTTGAATTTGTACATTTATTTTCATATATGTATAGTTATATGTGATTATTAGTAATTAGAAAGATAAAAATAACACGGTGCATAAAAATTGAGTATATCTTCTTTGCAACTCAAAATAGGCATGTTCATCTTTCTACTATACATTTATGACAGATGTTTCAAAAGAGGACCTATAAATGGAAATATTAAAGTTTTAGTCTCTTTTTTTCCATTTATTTAAAATTAGCTAAATATAAGTAGGATACTCTACGAACTGTATCGCACAATGAATACATAAAAATTAAAAAATAGTTTTCAGAATTTCTGCACTGGCTCACATGTGCTGTCTGTACACATCATTTGGTACTGCTCAGGAAAATGACTTCTTTTCTATTTCATTTTATATACACACATACATTTACTTTTCTAAAATTTGCTTTAGAGATAATATGCAAAAATCATAGATCTGAAGCTAAAATAAATGATTTTTAAAATGATATGATGAAATTAACTATTAAATGTTATTTTAAAATATGAAAGTTTTGTGAACTGGTTATTTTTTATCTCAATGGCTTCATGTACAAATAGGTTTATATGCTTTGCCTTAAGTCAAATACAGTCTAATACCAATTTATGTACTAAAACATATGCTGTATAATACTGAATAATGAACCTTCTCTTCTTGACTAAGTCATTCACTTTTCTTTAAATGTCATGACTTCTTTATCCAGATACAGATATTTCTTTACCTAGATACAAAAGAAAGAAGAGAAGGTTGATAACCTAAAAATGAGTTTCATTGTGCAACTCTGCAGGGAAAACTGTCAGCAGCCTGGCACATGTGCATTTAATGTGAAGCCTCTTGTCTCTAAAAAGAAAAGAGAGGCTGCACATGCCCCTGTGTCTGCCAGAGAGAGCGGACACAATAAGGGGGCTCCTATACCACCTACACTCATCAGAGTGAAGGATGCTACTTCTTTGGTTTCCTGGTTTAGTGGAAAGGTATTTGTATTCCCATCACCGAGTATTAGTCATTCAATAGATGAAAGGAATATTTTAAACTTTAAAGGCTACCTTGGTGTCATTCTAAGAAGTGGGGATGAGACTCTAGGGAAAGTGTTGAAATCCCGGAGAATTATTTTAACTATTAGAAGTGGTTTAATATTTGTGAGTTTGTGGTTCTGAGATTAATAGTTTTATAGCCTATGTGTGTGGATTTACGTTTTTAATTCTATCGTTTTAACTTACAATTTTTACCCTTAAAGCATCTGTTTTTGTCAATACTGCTTGATCTCTGTAACAAGTGCACTCTACATTTTTTTTTTTTTGTCTCTTTTCAAGGTTAATCTATTAAGCAGTTTACATTTTCTATGCATCCTTTAAAGGGCACTTAAGATGCTTTTAGATATAATTTGTAAAATATTTAGTAGGCGTAATGGCTAGGAACAAGTAACATTTAAGAAATAAACTACAGAACCAAAGAGAGGTTAGAGAAGAAGGCAATTTCATTTCTTTTTTCTTTGTAATTGCTTTAAGCAAGAAAAAACTACAGGAGACCATTTACCATAAGATAAAACATAAAAATCTGGAGATCTGTCATCTCTGAGAAGTCTTTGCTATGAAGACCAGAAACAACTCAATTTACTTTATATTTCCAGATAGAAAGGATAGGAAAAGTTTGGAGTCTCAGGCGAGATCAAACTTTGTGCCTATCATAAATAAAGGCAAATCATGAATGACGGATTTTTTTTTTAAAGAAGAAATATAGGACAAGAAGTAAACGAAGCTCATCTTAAACATATAACTGTTACTCTTCGTGACCTTTGAAATGGATGATTTGGCAACTAAGGTTATAACCTTCTTCCTCTTATTATATTACCCACCCGTTGAATTGCAGTGTCCGAAACTGTCTAACGGTAAACGGATTACTTGACGCATGGTCCTCGATATTTCAGTTGGATGAATTCAACAGGAGATGTTGGTCACACTTTTTATTCTCAATTTCCCTTTGAAAGATAATTATTGAATAATTATTGGAAAGTGGTCAATATTTGCGAAAGAGGTCTTGCTTTATGAATTCAATGAGTGGTAGCATTCTTTAAAATTAAGTGTAATTTATGCAGCGAAATGTGAAACCAAGTGGGGCAATCCAAGGAAAACCTCAGAAAATGATAAATCTGTAAGAAAAATGATACGGAATCTTCTGAAGGTTCACTCTTTATGTCCTACTTCACCCAACAGACTATTGTGAAATGATAGGGCGGGGGTGAGGGAGGCACATAAAACAAAAGACTTCCTTCCTCCACTCCCTTTTCCTCTGTTTTCTTTTGCCAGAGCTTGTTGCAAACTCTTGGAGACATTGTTTGAACATAATACATTTAGTTACTTCTTATTCTTCCAGGGACTGTGCCGGGCGGTGCCTAGAGCTGACTGCCGTTGGAGTAACAGAAAAAGAGTAGAAACCCATCAAGAAAGGAAAAGAACAAAGTTACCCGACCCGCGGCAGTTGTAACAACAAAAAAGTAAAAGGCACTTTACTTAAGGGCACAGTTCCTTTCACCGTCCCGGCTCCGTGCTTGGTAGCTGAGAGACGGCTTGCATTGCCTCTGGTTTCTAAAAGACCGCGAGGAGAACCGCTATCTACAGGACTGTGAGTCGGGAGCGTTATTCTCGGATTGATTCTGCTCCACGAAAGCTGCGGTTGCTGTAAGCAAAGTGCCCACAGCAGCACGGACCTCGGCTGCCATCCACGTCCTTCCTCCCTGAGCATCCAGCGCTAGCCGGGAGCTCCGAACCTGGAGGGAATCCTGGACCCGCAACCTGACTCCGCTCGCCGCGGATTGGCCCGGACCCCGAACCCCGCCCCCGCGGCCGGGGCGGCCGTTTCTCCGGGCCCCGCCCCTCGGCCCTGGGAATCGCCGCCTGGCAGGCCGGCTGCGCCTGCCACTCAGCCCGAGTGGCGGAGGCTCTCCGCTCAGAGCCCCGCCCCCTTCCCTAATTGATATTATTGGAGTGTGGAGCAAGCGGCCGGTCTGCAGTCGGAGACTTGCAGGCAGCAAACACGGTGCGAGCGAACAGGAGGGGGAAAAAAAATAAAAAAGCTGAACGTGGGAGCAGCCGGCCGGAGATCGAGAAGGGGAATCGATGCGAGGAGCGCAATAAAAAAGAACCCATTTCGGAGCAAACAGCATTTAAAAAGCTAGGACTCAACTGAAATCTAAAATAAAACCTGCTCATGCACCATGGTTTTTCAAACTCGGCACCCTTCGTGGATTATTTTATGCTACATCTGGCTGCTCCGCTTTGCACACACCGGGGAGGCGCAAGCTGCAAAGGAAGGTAAGGTGATGGGAAAGCAAAGTTTGTTCCGACTTATTTATGTAGCTGTCTACCTGCACGAGCCGGCTTGTCCGCGGGGCTGCCGGCCGCGCCTGCGGCGACCCTCCCCCGCCGGCTCCCCGCCCCCTCACCGCTCGGGCTGCTCCTGGCGGGCGGCAAGCGGGGTTGCTCCGAGCCGCCTGCAGCCCCGCGCCCGGGGCCGTCCGCCCGACGGGAGCGAAATTTCTGGCGCGGGCAGTCCGGGGGCGTGAGCAGCAACAGAGGGCGGTGGAGTGGGTGGGGGGGCCGGCCAGCGAGCTCATTCTCTAGGACCCCAGGCGAGTCCGATCTCCTCTAGCCCTCTCCTCCTCCTCCTCTCGCTGTCGCCTCCGGTGGGGTAAGCTACGGCCCGAGTTGGTCGGAGACTGGGCAGTGCAGCCTCTAGGGTCCTGGCCAGTCCGCCGGAGTCTGGAGCCTTCCCAGAGGGGCCGTGACTTGGGTGAGCTCGGAACGCTCGGGTTCCTAATGAAGTGCTCACTGCGTCGGAGGAGGCGGCGCGGGCCTGCGGTTGGCGCTCGGCCGCCGGCGCGGAACAATAACGCCGCGGAGGTGAAGTGGGTTCGCGGCGCGCGCCCCGCAGCCGGGGACGTCTCCACTCAGCGCGCGCTGCGCGCGGGGCCCGGCGGCCGGGGGTCAGCGGCAGCCCGGCGGGCTCGGCCGGTCGGGGAGGCAGGGGGCGGGCGGGGGCCGTGCAGTTGCTAACGAGATGCCGCCTGGCCGACTAGAACTCCCCAAACATCTGCCCCACATTGGGGCAGTTGAGGAGTCCGAGTGGTCGAACCTTGCCAAAGACCCAGAGCCTGAGGGCTAGTGCTGGTTGACTAGAGCAGGTCTCATTTGGGCAGCCAGATACGTCTGTATATGCTTCTTTTTTTCCTTCTCCTTTGAACCATTGACAGAAGGTAAAATACCTTTCGGTGCCTGTAGTTGGAGCTGGGGAAAAATAAATCCTGTGAATGGAAATGTCTTGCTTCTGAGCAGTGTCACAATCTACCCCCCCCCCCCCGTTATCTTCCAGGCTGTTGGTCTAAGGGTGATTTCCTGATATTGCAAAAGCAGAATACTAATAATTACTGACCCCTGAAGTGTGGAGGATGGAGGGATCTCTTATCAGATTTAGGTCATGGTGGTGATGCGGCGCGAAGGTTGCTTGTCGGTACTCGCTTCATCTCTCCCTGAAAACTTAGTGATTTAGTGCGGCTTTTCTTTATTTTCTTCGTGCACCCCTCTTCGGTCACTCACTGCACCCCTCCAACCCAACGCTATGTCCTACTCCTTGATCCAGGCTGACCTTCTGACCCCAGTTTCCACATCTGCAATCTGTGTTGACGCTGAACCCATTCAGAGAAAACCGTGACTCTGAGCTGTCGGTTAGGCGTTTGCAGATGAACCAACGTCTGCTAGAAACACACACCCATACACACCCAAAACCTCATTTCTACTCGCGTGACATTAGCGATTAGGAACAATCAGTCCTAGAACCTGGCACTGATTCCTCCGGAATAGCGGGACCCTAGGAAAAGTTTGCACCGCGGCGGCGAAGCCCCGCGCGCGATCTCCCGCAGACTCGGGCTGGAGTTTGAGCTATAAATAACTGCATCACTAGGGGGAGAGGTTCCTGCAGCCAGCATGTCCTGCTTGCTCGCTTTTCTCTTCTGGGTGCAAGATACGTGGAGAGGATTCTGATTCTAGGAGGCCAAAATCTTTAATGCAGAAGTGAGATGTTTAAAAGGTGGGCGGGGGTGGTGAGCGCGCCCCGCTTCCCAGTGGCGACGCTCCCAGCGCGCAGCGGGGATCACTTGCTGCCGTTCTGGGAGCGAGCAAGCCCCGAGGCGGCGCCGCGGCACCCAGGGCAGGCGCTGGGGACCGCGTCGAGCAGGTGCCTGGCCCCCGGGGTGGGTGGGGGTGGCTGGAGGAAGGTGAGGGACCCCTTGCCTCCACTTTCCCCGTACACGTTTTCTCGGGGTGGTCAGTTCCCGCTACTGGGAGCGCGTGTGTAAGTCACTCTGACGCTTGGAGGCGAAGTTGCAGCTGCTGTTTTCCTCTCGGTAAATGCCGCCGCTCCCTGAGAGGAGACGCTTCCCGAAAGCCTCTTTCCTCCTCCCGGCTCCTTCGGGAGCTAGGGCGCCACCGGCTCCCTGGAGTGCCCAGGTCTGGCGGAGGCGTAATGGATGCTCGGCGCGCCGGGCGCGCCCGTCTGGCAGCCCCCGCCCCGCCCCGCCCCGCC